CTCCCGTCCTCTGGCTGATCAGGAATGAGACAGAGGCAGCTCCGCTTGGGCCCCTGTTTGGGTCTTGTTTGCACCTTTTGGGCTGTTTTCTCTTTCCTGGTTAGAGCAGATGACTGACAACTGGGGGTCCTTGCTCGGGCAGGGGTGGAGCTTGTTCTGGGATGCATGGAGGATGGAGATGGCCGGTTCCTTGGCCCCTGTGCCAAAGGGCAGTCAGTGATGGGGGGACAGGGGTCTCCTACCAAGTGCTGACACTCCTGGCCTCCTTTGAACCAGCAGCGCAGCCAGCGCCTGTGCCCAAAAAGCTGCACCCCTGTTCCTTGCCACATGCCACAAGGGACCGCAGAGCTCTGCTGTTAAAACACTTTATTTCTCCCTCGCTGTAGCCCTCCCTTCCCAGAGCAGACGCTGTCCTGTCCTCCCACCGCAGCTCCAGGGCATGCTGCGGGAGAGGGCTGCTGACCTCCTTTCTCTGCTGGCTCCCGAGGAAAGGATGCTCTGCCTGGGAGGGACAGAGCTGCCGGGCAGCCCGCTGCCAGGTTTGGGGAGGGGAGGGACAGGCATGGAGCAACGCGCCCAGAGTGCCTCATCACGAGCAGTCATTTAACCAAAGCTACGGTAAGGAGGTGGTTGGGGATAGTGGGCCACCTCTGATCCTATTGTACAGGGGAGGAGGAGCGGACCCCTGTTTAGAGAGCCGTGTCTTCAGCCTCGATGCGGGGCCCAAAGAGCTTCTCTGCAGTTGCTTTGCCGTCGTACTTGGGCAGGTTGCCACCAAAGTCTGCTGGCAAGATGTCAGCGTCGATCTCCTGGTAAAAGGACTCCAGCTCCTCCCCGTGCACAAAGACCTAGAGGGAGATGGGAGCAACCCTCAGCAGAGGACAAGGGTGACTCTTCCCGGCTGCTCGGTTTCACCCCGGGACGTGCCTCTGCCTCTGGGTCCCTTTCCGACACTCACCCTCTCCAGCAGTTTGCTCTTCAGGAACGGTTTGACCACGTTGTAGGTGGTGGTGAAGTACCACGGCTGGTGGATGAAGTGGACGGCCTTGAACCGTGCTGGGAAGGAGTCCTAGGATCCCAAACCCAGACATAAATGATTACAGAGGGTGCTGGCCACATGGAGCCAGGTGGGCAGCAATGGATACCCCAGCACTGCCACGGTTCCCCTTGCCCAATCTCCCCTTCTCTCTTTGATGGCCCCTTTTTTGTTCTGACCCAGACGATCGGCCATCCCAGCCCCAGGAGTACCAGGGAAGCTGAAGAGCCTCCCAGATGGTTCATTGCTCCCACTCCACAAGAAGGACTGCATCTCTGCTGTCCTTCCCTGGAGAGAGCCAAGTGTCTTTGGCCTCTGGTCCAAGGGTAGAAATCCTGGAGTGCCTGTGAGTCTCCCTCCAGCCTGGACCAGGCTGGGCTGAGAGGAGGGTGAGGAAAAGCCTCCAGGCCATGCCGTAGGATGCTGCAAGGAGTGGTGGAACTGCTTCTGGTTGGGCTTTTGAGAGGACAGGGACCTGGGGCCGGAAAAATAGAATCCATCTGGCAGGATTAAGCCAATTAGCTGGCAAGGGAAGGAGCATGTGATGGGGAACAGCCTCTCCGATGATGCTTTCTTCTGGTGTCAGTGTGGTGGAAATCACAAACCCTGCTAGCCCTGCCTGCTCTCTGCTCCTCCAGGACCCACTCTGCCACTGCTGGGTACAGACTTTGCCACCTCACCTGCAGCATGTCCACCATCTTCTTGAGCTCAGAGGGTTTGATCCCTGATGCCTGCTGCATGGTGAAGCCCTTGAAGTTCTCAATGATGCAGAACCCATTGATCTGGGTCTCTTCATTTTCCAGCAGCTTCTCCAAGATAACGCAGTAGGCACGAAGGATCTGATGGAGAGGAGAGACAGCAGGTCTGGTACTAGGTCTCACCTCCCACAGACCCCAGGAGGTTCCCAGGAAGAGTCCCATAGAGCATTAGCCAGGGTCTGCTTGATTCCAGCCTGCTTGTCACAGCCAGCCCCAGGACTTCAGAGCAGGGAGGGCATTTTGGGGGATGCTTGACAACCACCATATTCCCCTTTCAAGCCGGGGGTGTCTCAGACCTGAATCAATGATATGTTGCGACCAAATTCAGAGCTGAGCAGAAAACGGAGCTGGGAGAAGTGAGTTACGTGCCTGGAGACCTCTTTGCCAAGAAGCCCTTTCCGTGCCTCGTGCCTCAGTTTCCTCCTCTGCCCTGCGGGACCGTCCTTTCTAAAGCACCTTGATTTAATGGCGTGGTGCTTTTCTTCACCCCGCATTACCTGGGCTGGGGAATACACACCCTGAATTTGGCCTGCATCTTGCACTGCATCAGGGGGAAGGAAGGGGAACCCTTTGGGATGGACCATGCTCTCCCACCCTCCCTGGAAGGATAAATTCAAAGGGCTACAGATTTGCTTCAACCTGGATGGCTGGAGGCTGCGTGTGGACATATGTATACATGTGTGTAAGGGACGCTGCGCTCAGACGTGCCGAGCAGGACAAGCCTGGGAGCGGGACCGCTCCGCTCCGGGAGCGACGGCTGGGCTGGGCTGACCTCATCAAAGGTGATCTCCTCGTAATCCCAGTTCTCGATGTTGAAGAGCATCACCACCCGGCCATGCTTGTCTCTGCTGGCCAGGATGCCGGGGTAGCCGGCTTCAATGGTGCTGCGCACGGCCTCGGGGGTCAGGTTGTCGAAGAGCTCGGGGTACTGCTGGCGGAAGTTCACGTAGCCTGCAGAGAGGCAGAAATCAGGGAGGACAACGGCTGCTCGCCCGGCCTTAGGAAGCCAGAGCAGCGCTGGGGAAGCTGCGAGAGACAAGGCAGGCTGGGGACGGCGAGACACCGGTCCTGAGTCCAAGAGCTGCCGACTGGCTGTGCCCAGGGTCCACATGGGTCAGGCCTTCCCCGCAAAGGGGGTGAGAGGAGCTCAGCCCCGTCCCCAGTGCGCTTGGTGTTATTCTCCCCATGCCAGCAGCTTCCCACGCCTGCCTTCTCTCCAGCACCCTGAGCAGATAAAGTTGGTTTTCCCCTCATTTCCCTTCTCCCCTTCCTCCCCGTTTGGGTGACATCCCCCAGCTCCCCTCTCCTGGCACCCTGCGGGCACGAAATAAGGAATCTCCTGGGAAAATGCAGGCAAACAAAACAGCTCGTCTGGGAGCCAGCGCTGATAATTAGAACTCATTATCCCCCAAGCTGACACAAAGAAGAGCGGAGCTGGAGCCAGGCAGGTTCCAGCCGGTGGCCACCCCCTCCCCAGGCTGCTCTTCCTCTCCCTCTCTACGCCTAGGGGTCACCCCTGATGTGGGGAGGGGGTCCCACAAGCCCCCCCAACCTGCCCCCAGCCCTCAAGGGCTCCCAGGGGTGCTGAGCCCACCAGGCATCGTGCACAAAAGCATCAGGGTGGGTGCTCCTTACAGGGGTAGGTAGAGGTACGTATAGGGCATCTATAGGGCGTATATATGGCATGCATAGGGCGTAGGGGTCTTGAGGGGATGTAACCCAAACCAGCTGGATTTGCTGCACAAATGAACAGCCTGCCACCGCCTAAAGTGTCTGTTTTTCCATTTTGTCCAGTACATTAGCAAGGAATGGGACTGTCCTGGCATCGCGGGATGCCTGGTACCACCCTCATTTATTTCCTTCCCCATCCCAACTCTT